CTAGAGTAAAATATGAGCATCCTCTAAATTTATACTTAGAAACGTAAGGTTTGGTACCAGCACCTCTTTCGGCAAGAGAAAACATTATGGAAGGTGCCCCAAACCCTATCTCGAAAAAAACATTTTTTTTGGACCACTCTAATGTACATATGTCTGTGCATAATAGGTATGGATCCCTTACGTCGTGTATAAAGGTTAAATGCTGTAATGCACACATGCAATCTAACATACAAACAGACATTTAATCGCACACACTAAGCAACTGATATCACTCGAGGCAGTTGGTGATCATTCGCCTGGCTGGCTGGCTGGCTGATCGAGCAGCTTAGGGTGTTGAATGCTGTCTGTCGATTGGCTGCGGCAAGGCGTTGCCAAGGAGTGCGGGCGTCAGCAGCAGCACAGCGGCTTATTGTGACGTCGCGCTGTAGCGTTGCAGCAATGAAACGATCACCCGCGCCTTAAAAACCATCAACAGTCGTATTCTTTGGTCTTCATTGTGGCCTTTTTCGATTATTTTATTTTGTTTGATTTTTTTATATGTATATCCCCTTTGCTGTTTTAATTTTCTGTGTTGTGTGTTTGGTGTTGTTACTTGGTTTGTCTGCCTGTTTGTATATTGCTGTTGTTATTATTATTATACTTTTATAACCTTTTTTACTCGTTCGGGTTTCTTCTTTATTTTCTTATTGATTTTTTTAACATTTTTAATTTTTATTCACATCATTTGATTTGATTTCATTTCATCGTTGGCTTTTCGCCTTCGCCTCTGCTTAGTACTCGATCATTGTTTTGTTTAGGTGTTTTGTTTGCGCTTTGTTCTGCACTATGCGGCTTTGTGTTGTCCATACCGCGTAGAATATATTTTAGAGTAATTCACTTGGCTTTGGGTTTGTTGTTATCTATTCAATGGTTGTCGCTTTTGTCATTGCTGACTTTCGAGCAGTTACATTTTGTTACATTTTGTTACCTTTGTTGGTTTTTTTTTTGTAAAATAACATTTATCTCAACGGTATGCGCCATTCGATTATATTAATTCGTTGAAATCGATTTGAAATGAAAGCAATGTGTCCACTTAGAATTACTTATTTTGAAGATTTAAATACTTTTAAAAACAAACAATTACACGCTGACAGTCAAGTGCGTGACCGTAATAGGTGTACATACATACTATGTATTTGTATAACAGTTTAAATTTTTTCGCTTTTTGAAGTGAAACTTCTTAATCGAGTTCGGAGATGGTTGCGTTAAATATTTAACACCAAGCCATAAAATCTGTATCGTTCGTTCGATTTTCAAAAATGAGGTGTCACATGAAAGGCCTTGTCCTTCGGGTGTGCAACATAGCTTTAGTTCCATGAAAGGTGTTGCCACATGTTAGATAAACGAATTCATAATTTCTCTGCCGCAGAGGGTTGCGTTAAATATTTAACACCACGTCATAAAATCTGTATCGTTCGTTCGATTTTCAAACGTGAGGTGTCAAATGAAAAAGCTTGACCTGTAGATGTGCAACATAGTTTTAGTTGTTTAAAGGGTTGCCATATATGCGAAAATCAAATTCAAATTATTTATTAAGTTAAATGAATTATCCCAATATGGGTATCAAAAGAAATGGTTTTGAATAAACCGTATTTTTTAGCTACATGTAGGAGGGTTGCCACCTGTTTCAAAAGTTCATTATTCAGTAAGCGTGAAAAGAAAGGGCTTAAAGAAACCCAATTAAAATATTTTTGAGGTGATTGAAGACGGTGACCACCTGTTTAAAAAGTTAAACTCAAATTATTGAAGCGAATTTTATTATTACAGCTCCGATATGTTTGCGATACATATTTAACGCCACGGTAAAGGTAGTATATGG